GTCGTTTAGCTACTGGTTGCTGCTTCATCCTGGTACCTCAGGTTTGTCTTCACTTTTAGCTCCATGGAGCTTTTACCTCAAACGCTGTAAATAAAAGGTCTGAAACAATGAGCCGACGTGAAAGTGCCCTAAACCGTTGTTCATTTTAACAGCCAGCAGGGGGCGACTCCTCAGTCAGATTAAACAGAAGTCATTGAGAAAACTTCTCCGCTGATTTGTCACAACAGGAAACGTTTTCCCAAAGACTTTATGGTCTCAGTCACTGATTTCAGATCTCCTTCAGTACAGCCTGATGCTCATTTTTTAATATGATACAGTTTAGAGTGAAAAAAAGACGACAACACAAACTCTGTTTTAAGGCGGAGCTCCCTTATAATCACTGCTGTCCGTTGTGTCTTTAGTCAGCTCCGACTCTCGCTCGTTCCGTCCAGTTTCAAAAGACCAAAATGACGGCAACACCGACACTGCGGCTTCAAATTGGTAGTCCACAAACCGATGGGTGACGTCAAAGTGGCTGCATTCATCTTTTAAATACGGTCTGTGTGTAAATGATGCTGTGTTTCATCAGGTCACCACCGGCTCAGAAACAACCCCGGGGCAGGTGGTGCTCCACCACAGCAGCACCGCTTCTGTGCAGTGAATCAGCCACTGTGTGTGAATTTATTAATTAAATGAAAAATGCAAGTCGTGTCGCTCTGCTCCTAACGACACAACACTTCATGACATAAATAAAAACAAATAAAGTCCGTTTATTCAGCAGCAGATTGTCCGTGTGCAGTCACCGGAAGTACAAAAGTCAAATTCACAGTTTGAAACAGAAAATCATCAGGACGGTACGTACACATGAAATGACAGAGCAGTCTAGACGCTTTTTGTTTTGATCAATATACAAGTCAGCCTCTAAGAAACTATTCTCGTCTAGTGCCTCTAATCCTGAAACCTGGCTGTGAAAGGACATGATTCTGTCAGTGAGGAGCGGCGGTGAGAAAAGTCCGCCGGGAGCGTCGGCTGAAAGTGAAAATAAATCAATAGAGGCAGCAACACACTGCGTATCGACGTTTAATATCCAGAATAAAGAATCAGATTAGGGGCTTTACTTTAATAAATACACGTGGATGGAATTTCATGAATTTAAAACACAAGTCCAGTCATATTCTATTTTTTTTTAATTGTAACCAAATCCCATTCAAAGACAAATAAACCCAGCAGGCAGTCTGTGTGGGCTGATACGGTGGCTCCAAGGAGCTTCTTGTTTCTAGTGAACCTGGACTTTATTTCCAGTGACACTCACTGAAGCACCAAATGTGTATTACTGCTAATGCGCCCTCACATTAGGGAAGTTATTGAGTGTTTCTGAGAAGTTAATGTATATGTTCGTGACTCTAAAATGATTCATCCTCACCAGAGACAGACCAGCACTCTGTTTGTTTAGCTTGTTTCATTGGGGTTCGGTCACAGGAAGAAAAATCTAGAATAAAGGCAGATTAATCCTTTAAATGAGGCCCATCCTGACCAGTTTTCCAAATGAGACGATGTGTTCGCGTGCCCCAAATCCAGATCAATTTTTTCCTTTCAGCGCTCGCCGCTCCATCACTCCTAAAAATATGGACACGAGGACGTGACAGACTCGATGCTGCGTTCTGAACTCTTTCCGTTAAGATGGATGCACTCGAGCGCCGTGGAACCAGGTGCAAAGCATCACAGGAAGACGGATGAAGCTCTCGGCTGCACGGTTACACAAAAAAATGGTGTCACAAGATCTCCTCCAGTCTTCCCTCGCGTGTGAATGCAAATGAAGAGAGGCAGCTTTCAAACCACGCAGGCTCCAGATCTTCAATCCAAACGGAGGCAGTTATATATCTGCTATCAGGGTTTTTTTTTTAATGGTGTTATTTATTTTATTGCTACCAGGACCGGATCATTATCCCGCATGAATCACAGCCACCTCCTGCCTCTCAGATCAGCCTCTCCATAGGCGGCGGCTGCGTGATGCTCCACATCTCCACCCGCGATCCCTCCTTCTCCTGCCGGCTGGGGCTGTAGGTGCCGTGGGTGGCGCGGCGGTTCAGCGCCACCACCAGGCCGACGGAGGTCAGGATGAGAGCCAGCAGCAAGACGACGGACACCAGGCTGATGGACAGCAAGAGGTCAGAGGTCAGACCCTCAGAAGTCAGCTGGAGGGAAGCGAGACAAGAGAGAGGCGGAGTCAGAGGACGGCGTTTTCCTGGAAGCGTGAAGCAAATGTTCTGGTTTCAAGGTTCTCACACACAGCTTACATTGTTTATTTCTGTCTCTCACACATTTTTTTTTTCTTTCTCTCTCTCTGTCACACTCTCACACACACTTTTTCCTCTCCTGACTTCTTTACACTACACCAGGCGCTCCACGCGTGCTGCCAAAGTGCTGATGGATGTGTTTCCCAGCTCAGCAGGTGGGTTGCGACCACCAGGAGCCTCTAGCTGCCGCGGACTGAAACCTCCCTCCGTCTGCCGCCTCTCTCGCAGTTTGGCTGCGGCGAGCGCCAGCCCCAGCATCACCACTATCGCCAAGCCAACCAGACACGGTGCCAGCACGGCAGCCACCCGCGAGCTGTATGGAGCACGCTCCGTCTGTGAAGGATCACACACACACACACACACACACACACACACACACACACACACACACACACACACACGGGCAAGATGCTGCCTGATGATCCCATCAGCGCACACACAACAAACACCTCCAAAAACAAACTCGCAAACACCCGAAATAGCTCCGACAAACACGCTCTTTTAAAGCAGGAAATAAAAGCTGCTTTACATGCAGTGTCTGATTTGCATCCAGGCGCTTAAATGACTTATTTCATATTTAACTTACAGCCTCGTGGCCCTTTGATCTGCACACACACACAACTAGAAACAACATTACACAAACCCACAGATGTCTGATGTCACCAATCAAACCCGAAGTGAATCAAGATGAATTAAAGCTTTCAAGTGCAGCAGGTGAGTGATTGTTAACAGTCATTAAGCAGCAGCAGCAGAAAACAGAACAGCAGGTGCACTTACATCAGTGGCTGTGGTTGGCGTGATAGTTGTGACTCTCTGAGTGGCTGCTGCAAGGTTACAACAGCACAACAGCTGTAAGTCTCGCTCCATAACACTTAAAATCCCCGCTGACAGCCACTTCAGAGCTAAAGCTTCTCACTGAACTTGTCAGGTTACACAAGTCAAGGAAAAATAATCTCAGAAGTCAGCAAACTTTACACCCAGCAATCAACATGGAAACATAATTCTAATAAAAATACAACCATCCGTGTCCCGAGGCAAAAAATAACTTATGCGCTCATGCTTGACGCTGCAGACATTAGACTTTCTTTCCCTCCGCTACAGGTTCTTTGTTGACTCCTGGAAAGTGCTTACCTGTCACTGCAGCACAGTTGGCTGTCAGAGCGAGTGTGACACAAGCGAGCGGGAGCAGCCTGCAGCCAGGACCCGCCATCAGTCACTGGCTGCCACACACACCGGCACAGAGATGTCTAACTAACCAGTCTCTAAGGTACACGGCGAGGCCACCCTGAAGCCTCGGCTGAGCAGCTCCGCACTCAGAGACACGGGCAGCAATGCTTCCCTGCTGTCAGCACTATCAGCCTGCTCAGTGTGTGTGTGTGTCGGTGTGTGTGTGTGTGTCGGTGTGTGTGTGTGTGCGCCTGCCAGATAAGCTGCCCTCATACGTTTCTGTGAAGCAGACCGAACTTCTGTGAATGCCACCAGCTCTCTGCTGAAACTGCACTTCAGCACCAGATGCCGCTTTTTTGCTGGCAAAGCACATTTCCTCCTCTCTGCTTCTCCCCGCTCTCAAAGGATGGCCACATCAGTGCCGACACTGAAAAACTGCCTCCCATTTCCTCCCCCTCTTTCCTCACCATTAGGGCTACCTGTGCTTGCAAAACACACACACACACACGCACACACACACACACACACACGGACTTGAAAAACACAAGATGGGAGACAGGAGGCAGGTGTACAACGGGCCAGTGCTGCATATTCACAGCGTGCTCAGAAGTATACGTGAGATCACACCGATATGTGACTTCTGTGAGGGTTTGTACTTACTTTAAGCATTTCTTTGGTTATTATTGGATATTAAATATGAGTAAGGAGGGACAACATCTTGTCCTGCGTCTGCGAGAATCTTCTCTTGAGTCAATTCGATGCTTTATCTCTCCGAATCAGTGAAATCCAGCAGTTATCTCTAATTACAGTCCCTTTAGCACAAAATGATGTGTTTCTGTGGGTACGCCTCCACTGCAGCTCAGCAGGAAGACGCTGAAGGACGACTCAGACTAAACAACTACTGAAGCCTCATATTACACCATCTCTAGCTGAGTTCTGGTTGCAGTTCAGCATTTTTCCATCACTCACGTCTAACAGCACATCAGGAAGTTACGCTGACTTATCCGTTGGCTTCACCGTGTGTGTGTGTGACTGCTGTGTGTGTATGAACTCGGGCTATTCTGGGCCATACTCACGCTACATCTTGTTAACAAGAGATTAAGTGTCTATGTTCGGCGTCACGGTGGCCACCTGACTTCAGCATGATGCTCCTTCACACACACACACACGGTTAGAAAATCAACGAGAGGATTTGAACCTTCGACAGCAGCTCGGACGACGGTGGAAATGGGAATGAAACGAATGTTTGGTTATGGAGGAGAAAAGAGGACAGACAACGAATCAAGGCTGATAAGAAAGACTTTGCTTTTATTTGACAACGACAAAGACAGAGACAGAGCGGACACGGAACACGATGGAGGGAACAGAGACAAACGAGAAGTTACAGTGGTACATGGATTATTCAGCGTGATGTCAGCACAACAAGAGTGAAAGACAAACAACAACAACACACAAGTCTACACGAGTGCAATGATTCATGAAACGTTGACCACAGCAGCATGGTGGAGTGTCGGTGCCGTTCAGCCGCCGAGAATTTCGGCTTAAAATATCTTTGGCTCAGAAATGGAGAGGTTTAGAGACAGAAAAAAAATCCTTCTTTGGTGCAAAACAACACACAGCAGTCAGTCAGTCAGTCAGTCAGTCACCGCAGCGCTCTGAATGCACATCAAGAACAAAGCCAGACATCTTGTCGTCTTCCAGCCCCTCCAGGTGCCTTTGTAACTACAACACTGCTTTTCATAGTTCACAAATTCATCCGGGCGGAGCTCCCAAAAACCCGGTTCAGACTGACGGGGTATCTTCACATTATAAATAACTCACATGCCATAATGCTCCTCACCTCACCAGAAAGTGCTTCAGTGGATGCAGAACGTCCTTCCCTTAATAAAGTCATAACTCTCCTGCACTATTTCAATCAGTTCTTCATCTCAAAGACAATGAAATTTTCTCTGATTCAGATTCAGGACAGAACAGGATTTATGAAAGGGTCACTTTCTGAGAACTTGTGATGATTCGTTTCCCCTTTTCATCACAATTTATCGAATAAATATTTAAAACAATTACAAGAACAATCAACAGATTACAAAACTCCTCCACTGTAGCTTCACTGTTTATAGTCTGGGCTGGTTTTACAAAAGCTCACTGCCTCTACGATCTACAGCTAGGTCCAGCACGTTCTGCAATTAAAGTTGATAATATAAATAACTATGTTAAATAAGGTGCTGCTGATTACCAAAGTGTCGTTTTAAGGCACAAAACAGTTCTGTGGTCCCTTTAACTTGACGTCAAACTAAAGAAATCCCTACTGTCTGTAGTGTGCTGGACGCCTGATCAGGTGGTACCAACTGGATCAGGAGTCCCCCTGAGATTCGTATGTAAAAGCACTGCCCATCCTCATCTTCTACCATCCATCAATCACCCATACAAGCGCACCACACCCTGCAACCCACGGTGGCAAAAACACACGCATTCACACACCGACTCAGTCATTTTGTCCCCAGTCCACCTCCGGCTCATCGTCCAGCCTGAGGATGAGGTAGGAGAGCAGCTGGAAGAGGTTCTGCCACAGCAGCACAGCCACGTAAAAGTAAATGTCGCTTACGTCCGTCTGGCACATGTCTCCAGCGTAGCTCATGTCACACACACAGACAAACTTGTTGATGAGGTTGCGGCAGTAGCCTCCGTTCAGACAGGGGTTGGACTTGCACTCGTCCACCTCCTGCTCACACCTGCAGGCACAGAGACGCACAGAGTGAATGGATCTGTTGTGGTAAAAGAACCTGAGCAAAGAGCCCCATCAGTGAAACTCAAGTTGTTGTTTTTTTAACGCTAGCATGTTTATATGAAGAGTTCATTTGTAAAAACAGATAACTCCGTCTTCACGGACCTTCAGAAACCCACCTTTCCATCGTCTACCTGAGACAACATCAATCAGTTGTCTTTGTTTTGTCATTTCTACCGAGTCAGATCCACTCAGCTTCAGTTTGATTGATGTTATCTCAAGAAAACAACAACAAAAACAAGTTTTCTGAAAATCTACAAACATGGGCTTCTCTGTTTTTGCAAATGAACTCTTCATATGATGTTTTTTACATGCTAGAAGACGCATCATGAGCAAAGTAAGCCGCCATGGCCGAGCATTTCCCCCAGATGACATCTCAAACACACAGATTTAGACCTGAAGGGTTTCATGTGTAACAAACTGAAGGAAACCAATCCTGTCAACCTGCAGAGCTGGACTCTGTATCGTTATTCTACTTCAGAATCTGTTTCCATTTCTGTGTGGCTAAGTTACTCCAACATTACACTTTGCCCTCGTGTAGCGTCGAGTAGCTCCACTGTGTCTGAGCAGAACTGTAGGCGAGCTGGAGTGCTCGAGCTGCTGTGAGTGGGAACGAGTAAGTGGAGAGAGAGACGGGCTACGTAGATCTGTGCATTCTAGAGGAAACAACGATGCAAACTTGTGTTGAAGCCTTTCTAAGCTCGGCAGGAGGGATTATTTTCATGGAAAAAAACTTCTAAATATACAACTTTATTGCACAGAGACGAGTTTCTAATCAATGACGATCTTATATAAGTAAACAACAAGAACACAGCAAATAAAGAAGAAGCTGGTGAGTGGAGGAAGCAGCAAAGGCAAAGAAAGTGTGCACGAGTGTAACAGAGGAACACCACCAAGGACGTATGTGTGCATGAATGTGGCAGGAAGCAGCAAACTAAACTAAAGCTGGACAAATTAGAGAACGACAACACAGCTACTCAGAGTGTTTCACTGTCATCCAGATGTATTTTACTCATACGTCTGTGTTGTTCTGTGTCCTACCGGTGGCCGATGAAGCCTGGTGGACAGTCACAGGACAGCTCGCGGTTGGTGCAGTTGCCTCCGTTGAAGCAGGTGTAGTTTCTGGTGTCATCGCCGCACACCGAAACCGGCAACTTGGGCCTTCTGGCAGAAAACATGAAGACACATCAGAGGACCGATAAATAAGCTGTTTGTATTTTACCAGCTTCCAGTGAAACAAAGAACTGAATCAAATTTGTATTTGCCCCCACATGGAGGCATTTTAAAAAGCAAGCCAAAGACGGTTCTTTTCTCCACAGGTTTTAATGAGTCAGAGAAACCCTGTTCAGGACTTGTGGGGTCTTCTGGACCCGAGGCCATGTGGTTTAGGTGACAGGTGCTGTTTTTTATTATTGAACATCTTTTTAAAATATCAAAAGAGGGACAGTTGTTATGAATTTAGAACCAAAAATACGTCAACTTATCAGAAAATGCATTTAACAAAGTATAAAGTCTATAATGAATACCAATTAATATTTTGCACATATTCTTTCTTGGTGTCCTGAACAGGGTTAATCAGTCAGATTAATGCAGAAAGTCTGGTCAGTAACTGTATTCTGAACTTTCATTTACTTAATTTCTTTGTTATCATTTACATGTTTTTATTTTGCGTATTCTTTACAGTCAATCTATTCAATCCTATCACTATAAAATGTGCACTTATTTTTGTTTCTACATTTACTTCATATAAATAATTTAATTGTCTCTAATTCTACTCTGCTACATTTTGCATTTTATCTTTTACATGCCTGAAGAGCACTTTGAGTCACCTCATAACGTGCTCTATAAATAAACCCGCTCGCTTATAGGAGGCCCTGAGTTGTTTCGCAGGTTCTGTGCAGCAGTTTTTAGCGGTTTTATGTCTACCGGAAGCAGAAGACTCAGCCAAGCAGGAGCTGTATTGTTCAGCCTCCTGCTGTTCCCCACAGGGGAGACAAAGAGGCTTAGGAGGCGACCAGGATAATAAGATTAAAGACCTCTGGCATCTTTTCACCAGCAGGATGTCAAATCACATGTACAGGAATGAAAAAGACCAGCCACTCTGCTCCGGCCTCTATCGCCTTCTATCAGCCTGAAGCCTCTCCAGCTCACATCAATGCCGACAAAAGTCATCCTGGAACGTGTGTAATTTTGGCTTTCATAAGAATCAGTTTGAGCTACAGCTGTCACTCATTTGAAAACGTGGTTGGCTCATTTTAAAACAAACGGTGTCAGAGGGAGACTTAATATCTGCTTTGCTTGGTATTTTGTTGCACACGGCATGAACAAAAAAAAAAAAGGCAGCGTACATGACATTTGAGAGACAAACATCTAACAGGAAACAAACACCTGGGAACACACGAGGAATCAAAAAAGAAAGAAAACTCACACATTTCTGACAACAATGTACCATGGAATTTCTTCAACGCGTTCACTGCAGGGGAACAGAAAGAAAGATGGTGAGAGCAGGAAGAAAGAGGCACAAACAAGAGAGACAAACAAAAGGAAGTCATTTTGATGAAAACTTTACAGCCTAGATGTTCCCAGTAAAGGGAGATCGCTTGACTGGTGGCTTGCTTAGCGAGAGACACTTGCAAAGGTTTTCTATGTGCAAAAGAGGCAAAATGCAAGAGGCTGTGTGTTTACAGGATAAATGCTTGGAGGCGTTCCCCTGCTGGTTCTCCGAGGCAAACGGTAGATGACAGGGGAAAGAAACTGGCGCTGAACCAGAGAGCCTTGTGTAGTGAGACACCACAGCAGACTGAGGCCTTTTCTGGCTGACACTAGAATAGAAATGCAGCTTCTGAGACGCTCACTGCAGGCGTGGTTGAAATGCTGAACAGAGGCAGAAATGTGGAGACATTTACAGTGAAGGATTTTGTTTGTGTAGCGCCGCGGTCCCTTGTCTGTGCAATTTTGGAGCATTTATTTGTGCATTTCGTGTTTGCTAACTAAGCTTTCGGTGCCGTTCATAGAGAAAGAAAGTTATCTTCGGAGCGTGAAGTATTTATGATGGGATCGTTTCCTCTGTGCTCATCTACATGCTCCACAAGCCTCCTGCACTCACCAGAAT